GGGCTGGGAGACCCCGTAGAACTCAAAATTTGTTTGTCTTAGAGGTCATGGTCTTGCCCTGTGTGTTGTCCAACAACTATTTCATCTATCTTGCTCAGTTTTCTAGCTAAAGTCTAGCACCTACATAAGCGAAGTCCAAACATTACTCTAATAATCTAAGTTAAAAAGATGAATTGAATAGTCTGATTTTAGTTTGTTTATAAATTTATTTTTTATGTATACAGTGTTCTGCCTGTCTATTGGACTGCGTGTCAGAAGAGGGCACCAGATCTCATTACAGATGGTTGTGAGTCACTGTGTGTCTGCTGGGAATTAAACTCAGGACCTCTGGAAAAGCAGTCAGCGCTCTTAACCTCCAGCCAGATGGTCTAATTTAAAAATTCATACTTAATGATAACTGACAAATGCTCTTAATACTTAACAAAGCAAATGGGCCTGAATATGTTCTATGTATGACTGTCATTTCTGTGGTTATTTTATTCTAGGAAGGGTCTTATCACACCCGCTATGAACACCTTATCGCTACAGCTAAGGCGTTTTACTTTGTTCTTCGCATTTTTTCTTTCATTTTTTTCATATCTACTTCTGCAGCTGTGCTAATATCTATGGCTACTGAATAGCTGAAATGTCTCTAGTGTGAACCAAAGGTGTTCACGGTAGAAAACACTAGATGTCCAGGTTATAATATGGAAAGAGTGCAGCCACCTCACACTTTTATGTTAATTATATCTCAAAATGTTTCAGACAGACTGAGTTGAACAATATATTTCTTTTTTTCTTTAAATTTTTTGTTTGGCTTGTTTTGTTTGGCTTATTTTGGGGGGGTTTTGTTTCTCACATAGTATTTCATATTATAGCATAGGTTACCTTAAAATATTCAACAATCCTTCTGCCTCTGCCTCCCCTATCACTGGGATTACAGATGAGACCCCTACCATGCCTGTAAACAATAAAGTTCTAAAACTAATGTTGCCAGCTTCTTTAAACCCTTTTCACGTCACTACCACAAGACTTACAACTCCGTATTGATCATATTATACGTGTGAGTATAATGAACTGGCCAGTTCTGCCTACAGCAGCCATGTCTGCTGAGAGCCTTGTTTTTAGTGCTCTCCTTTCCTGGGCTGTGGGACTCGGCTTTCCTGGTTTTCCTGGTGTCTCATTGCCTGCTCCTTCTCAGAGAGCACTCTTCTGAAACATACATCTTGTAGTGATACTTCATTTGTACTTTAATAAGTAAAGCTTGCCTCAAGTTCAGAGAGTAAAACAGCTGCCCTGATCAGCCTTACCAGCCAGGCAGTGCAAAATGGTGGTGCTGCCTCCAGGAATCCTCAGGATGAGACTGCGTGAGAGCTGCCTCCTCCCCTGTCATATTTCTCTCTAGTTCTGGGATTCAGGGTGTACACCTCTACCGCCTGGTTTCTATGGCACACTAGTATGGCTAGTGGAATTAAAGGTGTATGTCACCACCATCTGGATTTTTTTCAGCATTGGTCTTGTGTAGCCCAGGGTGGCCTTGAACTTACAGAGAGATCCATCCACCTCTGTCTCCCAAATCCTGGGAGACAGGTGTGTGCCACCACTGCCTGACCTCTATTGCTCTCCTGATCTTTAGGCAAGCTTTATTTATTAAAACACAAATAAAATAGCACTATAACATCTATTGTTCTCAAACTTCATGATGCTTCAAATACGCCCCAGGTTGCTTGTAGCACATCACATTGCTGATCCTTATATGTAGAGATTCTGGTCTGGTCGATAGATTCTGATGTAGGAAAACAGGATGAGGGCCCAGAATTCTGAACTCATTTTCAGTCCTGTTTCTCATTTTACCCAGGGCATCCATTGGCTAGCTCATTGTTTTTTTACCTACCTTATCCCCAAGGATGTGGCGGACTACAGACTGACATCCCCAACCCTCCTCTTCCAGTTTAGAGTCCTCTCATCCCAACTCTTTCTTTCATCTGTGCATCCTCACTCACTGTGCGAAACAACATCCAGTGTTTTCTCCTTCTCCCTGGCCCGTTCTTTCCTCTGTGCTCCAGCTGTGCAAACCCAAACCCTTCTCTCCTTCCTATTGTCTCTGTCTGATCAGCACCCACACCCCAATGTGTCTTCCTCGTGAACCCCTATCCTCACTGTGCCTCCTCATTCCTTCAGTTTAGGGTTTCTCGGGCTGGGAAGGCTTAAAATACAGAGCCAGCTAGCACTTGCAGTGCTGCGGGAGTACCTTCCACTGCTTCAGCCAATAGTTGCTGAAGCAAGAGCCCACGGTGCTGCGGGAGAGCCTTCTGCTCCGTCAGCCAATAGCCTCTGAAATACCAGCCCACTGGGGTGTGGTATATTTCTCTTTAAAGGAAGAGCGGCAAGCCTCGGCTCAGCCTCTTGGTTCCGGCTCCTGCTCCCGGCTCCTGCTCCAGTGACTAGGCTCCCTTCCTGACGGTTTATGGTGTATGTAAGTTTTATCCCCCAAAATAAATACCCCTTTAAAACATAACTGGTGTGGGATTGATTCGCCATTATTGCAGGGACGATCCTGTACATTTTAGGATGCTCAGCAGTTTCCCATTCCTACTCTCCTAAGCCCCCCTAGTTGGGTAGAACCCCAAGTGCCTCATGATGTTGAGGTTGGGGAACTAGTTGGAAGGGCATGCTCTATTGCCCAAACCCCAGTATCCCCATAGAGACACAGCCTTATTTGCATCAGCATAAGAGATTCCGGGTCATGGCTCCTCCCTTTTATTCCATACTCTTTTTGAAAAGTTTTACAGTTTTCATTAGGAGAGAACACAGTATTGAATGCAGCATAAAAAGGACACCATTTGTCTTCTACTTGCCTCCTCCAGCTTTCCACAACAATGACGCTGAGCGCCTTTGCAGCTTAATTAAGGATGGATGAAATTCATGAGAAGTGGGAACTGGAGCCAGTAAGTATGCGAGGAGCTGAGGAGATCAATGCGAAGCTCGTGGGATGTTTTAAATTTAGGAGATGAGTAAGCGTGCACTTTGTGAAACATAGGCAGAATTGTGTTAAATATATGTAGTAAGTTAGTAAACTGTAAGGCATGCCAAAGTTAAAATAAATAGAAGATAGGATGGAACAGAGGGTCACTTGCAATCAAAAACGGAATAGAAAAACTGTTACGAAAAATTGTGACATGTCTAAACCGACGGTTTAGTCAGACCTAATTCTGTCCCATTTAGGTGGAGACACACAAAACAGTCTCATGTTGTCTACCTACTGCCAGGTGTGGGTTGCCCCTCTTCAAGCTGTGGGCAGGGGTGTTGGAGGCTCCTCATAGACTTCCAAAATAACACAGTCATTTGGAATCAGGGACTCAGTGGAACCACTAAACTAGACCACTCCATGAATAGAAAGAAAGGTTAACTGGTGATCAAATTGCCAAGGTTATTTGCGGGGGGGGGGGGGGGGCCGGGAAGCATTTTAAAAAGCAAAAGCTGCAGAAAAGCCATCAGAGGGGGGAACGTTGAGCAGATACAGGCTGTTCAAATTGGCGAGGAACAAACCACCCTTGCCCAAGACAGTCGGCCTTTGGGCAGAGTTAAGGAGGCTCCTGGAGGATTAAGGGAGGGTCCTTGTTAAACAGAAGCCTTATCTGTTTACCTGGCCAGGATCCTTCTGTTCAGAGCATGGTCACCAGCACTATCTTTGAGGGGCCGCTCTGGACCTAACAGAGAAGATCCCACAAGCCCCACTGTCAGTTGAGGATTTTTTTCATGGGTAGTGGGGAAGAGAGAGTCAATTTTCTTCACGGCCGCAGCTCCTGATAGTCTTCCATGAATGGCCCTACACAGATACTGATAGCACTGAATGCCTGAATGCGCTCGCGCTCTCTCTCTCTCTCTCTCTCTCTCTCTCTCTCTCTCTCTCCTCTTCTCTTCTCTCTCCCTCCTTTCCTCCCTCCCTCTTTTGAAAGGGAGAAATGGTGAGAGAATTTGGGAGGAGTTTGGAGGGAGGGAAGGAAATGGAATCTAAGTCTGTCTGCAGGCAAGACCTTGTCTCTTCCCTTGAGGGCTAATCCCACAGAGCAGACACTCGGCTAAGTAACCTCGACCAGGAAGGCGGGTCCAGTTTTAGATAAAGTACTTTCTCTTCCCTTCCAAGCCCTTTGTGCTGTCCCCAAGAGCAGGGCCTTGGTTAGGTTCGGCTGATCTGATTGGGTCTACCTAACTTTCTGAGGCCTGACTCTAAACTGCACAACTGTACTTTTCTTACTTTTTGCTTCGGATGCTGGCCAGAGCTTAAGTTTGCTTTGTAAACCTGGTTTCGGACTTTCTAACTCTTTTTCTGAAGTTCTAGCCTTTTACCCCAAGCTGCCTGCCCCTCGAGTCTGTCCTGAGTGGTTATCTTCTCCATATTCATCCTTGGGGCAATTGAGATTAACTTGCCTGCCCTGAGGCCTATCTTTTACTAGCTATTTTAAAAGAGAGGATTTTAGAATGTAGTTAGTTGGAAAGAAGCAAAAATAAAATGTGAGCTGGGTGGTGGTGGTGCAGGCCTTTAACCCCAGCACTCGGGAGGCAGAGGCAGGCGGGTCTCTATGAGTTCAAGGCCAGCCTGGTCTACAAGAACTAGTTCCAGGACAGGCTCCAAAACTACGGAGAGACCCTGTCTCGAAAAAAATACAAAAATAAAATAAATAAAGAAAATGTGGGACTTTTTTTGTCCGTTCCTGAGTTGCTTTTAACTAACTCTCCTCCAGGGTGTGAGAGTATCTGGGTGCGTACGTTTGGTAACCTGCACAGGGCAGATTTGCAAACGAAGTTAAGGAAGCTCGTGGTTGCTACGAGCTTCCTAAACTCCCGATCCTCGCGGGAGACCGCAAACACCCCAGCGCGAGCATCTGAAGCAACTCTTGCTTTGGATTGAGTCATCTCCCCTCCTTCCCGAAGTCAACCCTTCCGCCTCCGGAGGCGGCCGCACAGGCTTCCGCTCTAGGCGGCTCCCGGCTCGTCTTTATGGTGCGCGCGGCCTCTCTAGGCGCACTCGCTGTCCTCTCGGTGTCCGCGCGGGGCAGGCGGGAGTGTGGAGCGCCGAGTCTGGCCTGTGCGGATCCCGGGCTTCCGGACCAAGGTACCCGGGCAGCTCGAGTGGGCCGGGCCGCACGACTGTGAGTGGACGCTGCGGAGGGCACCTGAATGTGGGGGGGCCTCGAGGTAGCCGGAGGAGGGTTGTAAGGGGAGGCCTGCACGGCGGAGGAAGCCTGTGGCTTGCAGCAGCCTGGCACCTCGCCGTGCCCTGTCCCCGGTCGGTCCGCCACCGCTTCTGGGCCACAGCCTGCAGTTTTGTAGTTTGCAGTGGGAGTGGAACCCGGGGCCTCGCGCAAGCTGCGGGGCTCCACTGCCGAGCTGCAAACCCCCAGCCTCATCAGTTTGGGGACTAGCTCTAGCTGAACTGCCCCAGCTAACCGCCTGCCGTCTCGGCCACCTGTGTAGCGTGGGTTACAGATGCGAGTCACCGGGCCTGACTCTAGTTTTGTTGCTTTAGATCCGCCTGCCTCTTTCTCCCGTGTGCTGGGGTTAAAGGCACGTGCCACCACTCCCGGCTTGTCTGTTTTTCAAAACAGTTTCTCTGTGTAGCCTTGATTGTCCCGGAAGCCTGTGTAGACTAGGCTGTCCTCCAACTCACAGAAATCCACTTGCCTCTGCCTCCCAAGCGCTGGGATTAGAGGCGTATGCCACCTCGTCCGACTTTAAAAACAATTTTTAAAAACTATTTTGTATGTATGGTATTCTGCTTGCATGTATGTCTGTGCTCCAGTGCGTGCCTGGTACCCAGGGAGGTAAGAACAAGTCTGATTTCCTTGGAACTCGAGTTATGGAAGTTTGCGAGCCACCATGGGGGTGCTGGGAATTGTACCCGGGTTTTCTGGAAAAGCAACCAGCGTGCTCTTAACCGCGGAACCATCACTCCAGCCCCCGCTTTAAGTTTTAAATTGACAATCTTTCAGCCCTAGTCATGTGATGATTTATGATTTAGTTAAGCATGTTAGTGGGTTGATTTGGTTTTGTTTTTTAAATTCCTACCCTAGTATAGTGTACATGATAGGTGTTTGTTGGACTGTCTGGTGGTTTGAATCATTCTGATGTGGCTGTGATGTAGAGGCTTTAATGCCTGTGTCCCATACAGGGTTGGGGTGGAACTAACAAGTAACAAGGTGTGATGAGCAGAAAGACTTGCAGTTACTCTTTTGCGTGGGTTGTTGGAAAACACACTGTATAGTGCCTGCCTTCACCCTCTGCGGTGATGCTGGGAAGAACTGCTTTGAGTCCGTGGGATGTAAAGGCGGCTTGATCTGGTTGGAGAACGTGTAACCCTAGAACCAGCATGCTCTGAGGAGGTTTTGCTGGGACGGCCAGTGATTGGCCAGACTTGATGGACCTAGAGAGGGAATGAGCAGTTCAGTACAGTATTCATAAATGAATAAACAAAGACACTGGAAATCCCGAGCTTCCGCTTGGATGAAATCCCCAGGGATAGAGTTAGTGTCTGTCATGCCTTTAATCCCAGCACTCAGGAGGCAGAGGCAGGTGGACCAAGGCCAACCTATTCTACGGAGTGAGTTCCAAGACACCCAGGCCTACACAGACAAACCCTGTCTTGGGGGATGGGGGGGCGGCTGGAGCAAATGGTTTAGTTAAATGCTAGTCAGAAGTATTTTTGGAAAACAAAATGATACTGATCCATTCAGAAGTTAAAGTATACTGTATTCTATGTTAGTATTTGTCACTAGGAATGTCTAGGTATACTTTTGAAAGTATTTGAACACTTGGGTTTTATTAGAACTATTGAAGAATTTCCTTAAGTTTAGGGAGCGATAGTTCAAATTCATGAGATCAAAATTAGCAAAAAGTTTTAGGGGGGTAGTGTTTGTTGGGGACTTGTTAGTAGAAACCACTTTTCTTGTCTTGGGAATTTTATATACTGTAGTCATCAGAAAGGATGTCTGGAACAAACTGATCTTTCCTATTCATTTATTTGATTTATTGTTTGAGCTGGTGTTTCACTGAGCAGTCCTGGAACTCACTGGGTAGACCAAAGCTGGTCTGGTATCCAGAGATCTGCATGTTGAAGGCATGGGCCACCAGCCTTTTACTGATTTTCCACAGAAGGGAAAGGCTGGTAAATCATTACTGTCACACAAGTATGCATGATGAGTTTTGCATCAACCAAGTAACTGCTTAGAAATCCGTTTAAATGAAAAGGTGTTTTACTGGTAAGATGTTCATGGTGAAACAGGTGTAAATGGAGGCCAGACTAACGTAGTCCACAGTGAGTTAGGAAGTCCATCGGTCCTCACCACCTGTATACTGCAGATTCCATCAGCCGGTGTGGTTCTGGTTTTTGCTGGGTCTGAGAGTGCACAGGTAGGAAAAGTGTTTCTGAGCTGTCGTAATGGCACTGTTAACCATCGTTCTTGGTAGGCAGAGGCCCGCAGATCTCTAAATTCCGGGACAGAACCTGCGTTTCTGACTGTTAGTTAAGGGAGGAGTTACACCAACATCCTGGAAGAACAGCGCAGCCTTGCAGGTAAAGGGAGCAGCATGAAGCTGTTGAAGAAATGTCGTAGTAAGTGCAGGCCTTGTTCCCAGCACACAGACCACAGGAGTAAACAGACCCAAAGGGCTGTGCGGTAGAACTTTAATCTAGAGGCGGACAGGAAGAGCTGCGATGAGGGATGGGGAAGCGGAGCAAAGAAGGAATAACCCATGTGTGAACTTTGAAAGCAGAATGTGAGTGGCCCTCACGATGGATCGCTAGCCTACAGGTCTGTGCTAGCCTGACTCTTGACACACACAAGCTGACGGGTGACTCAGGGCCACCTGCCTGGACTCAGGCCTGTGCGCTTTTACACTGAGAGTTTACCCAAGTAAATGGTGTTGTAGGCCCCTGAATTTTAATGTTTATCAATTTCTCTTTTTTGAGATTTATTTATTTATTATGTGTACAGTGTTCTGTCTGCATGTATACCTGCAGGGCAGAAGAGGGCACCAGGTCTCATTATAGATGGTTGTGAGCCACCATGTGCTTGCTGGGAATTGAACTCAGGACCTCTGGAAGAACAGCCAGTGCTCTTAACCTCTGAGCCATCTCTCCAGCCCTATAAATTTCATTTTTATTAAACACATAGTCTTTGATCAGATTATATGTGTGATGGAGGGTGGGGGGAGGCTGATGTACATGGAGCCCAGAGGTTGATGCTGGCCGGCTTCCTCAATCATTGTCCAGTGTGTTTTGAGAGACTGGGTCTCTCTGCTATGCCTGGAGTGCCCTGTTGCAGCTAGATTCCCTAGCCAGTGAGCCCCTCCTGTCTCCAGTTCCCCAATCCCAGGGTTACAGTATATACCAGAGCACTCGGCTTTTCTGCTTTTGTGGGTTCTAGGGCTAACACTTGGGTCCTTCCTTATGCCTGGCTAACACTGAGCCAGATGTGTAGTACCAACATCCTTGTGTGAGAACGGAACACTCACCCTTGGCTATGGCGTTTACACTGAGCAGTTACTGTAACTTGTTCTTCAGGAAATCAGGTTTAGCAAAGGCTCTGCTTACTAGAAGGCTCTGAAAATGGGGATGTCAAATTTAGCAGATAAAGGTACAGGATTGCCCAGTTAGATATAATTTCAGACAGGTGGGATTGACCTGTTAGCTGTATGTAGGGCATGATTAAAATAAAATCTTTTAATGAATATCAAAAGCACAAATTGACAAGTTGACTGATAATCCTGTATCTGGTAACAACTATAGACAATTCTCCTTTAACGGTGACACCAGAGAGATCCTTACTTTAAGACAGCACAGTGACTGGGACTCGGTAGATGGCTCAGTAGTTAAGAGCACCGGCTGCTAGCAGCTCACAACTGGGAACCCCGTTCCAGGGCATCCAGTGCTTCACTTTGTAGCTTTGCACCGACCCTGTACACAGGCTTCCATGCAGGCCAAAAACCTATACACATTTTCAAAAATGCAGTGATCGGACAGACAGTTTAACAATTGACCCTTCAAAAATTACAGTACTCTATGAGCTGGGATTTCTAAAAATAAACTTCCTGAGTTCCGAGGTAACATTTTCCCTCTTTTGAAACTATCTAGCCAGACTAGCCTCCATAGCCTTCTTAGTAGCTGAGAATGACCATGAATTTCTGACCCGTCTGCCTCTCCAATGCTAAGATTGTAGAAGTGTTCCCTCACTCCTGTTTATACAGTGCTGGGGGTTGAACCCAGGGCCTTGTGTCTTATTCAGGGAGTTCTTGGCAGAATGCTCTTGAGTTTCCTGTTCCAGGCCATTGTTAAGGATCCCCTCTGCATACTGAATTGTGGTCATTTCTACCTTGTTTTCTCCTTCACTAACCTAGACTTTCTCTATCGGTTCCAAGTTTTTGGATCCTTGTAAGAAGTGGCAACCAGCACTTCCTTCCCATTCTCTCTTTCATCCAGATCACTCACCAAGTTTGGTGTCTTATGCGTAGCAACAGCCACGCAACTGCCATCGTGAATCGCTGCTAGTCTCATCCCACAATGCTTTCTCAAGTATCCTCAAGAATACAGTGTGTTCTCTGTTCAGCCGATTTCAGGCCATCATAACACGTGCACGGCAGACCGTACAGTTTGTTTCATTAACTTTCCTGAATGTACGTCGTTTACCACAGGTGGAACACCAACCACAAACCTAAATAATGATCTACCAAAGTATCTCCTGGTGAGCCAGTGAATTTATTTGGCTTATGTTATAGAATATCGATGAGGTCGTTTGTAGGAATGTAGTTAACCCTGAAACAGCTACATTATTTCAGAGGCTCACCCCATCATGAGGGACAACTGCTTGGAGGCTTTATCCTTGAATCCTTCCTTCAGTTAATCTAGCACTTTCTGTGTCACTGTATGTGCTTCTAGTTTCACTGTCAGTTAGTTGCTATGGTTACCAGACCAAAGTAATCACCTCTCCAAGATGGCCGCGGAGTGGTCATGCTATGCCCAGAGGAAGAAGCCATACTGCAGTGGTCTCAAGCCTTCTATCTTTTCTTGTAAAGATTTTAGCCTTTAAGCTTTGTATGTATGATTCTTCATTTGTAGATCTGTAGCTGGTGTTTGTTCATCCAGATGAGATCTAATTTGTCTTTTCTCATGTTAGCCAAAAATCTTTTTCACTTTGATTTTTAATACCCATCTATTTATAATACCACATTATACAACAAACCCCAATCTGTTTGTGTGTGTTTGTCTATACTACAGCAGTATCATACTGTCTTTAATTATCTTTCTAGTAATCAGCCATTGGTTTCTTTCACATTTTCTTGGACCTTTTCTCTTTTGTGCAGACCAGTCAAACTCCAGCATGATGGGGTAGAATTTCCAATTGTCTTTATAGATTGACATGGTACTGAATTTGTGGAATTCCATAAGGTGTCGTGTGTCTTTTGCGGCATTTGTATAATGTGTAAAGCACACGGTGTTTTGTTTCCCAGCATTGTCTGTTGCGCCTCTGCTGGTTCTTGTTTCTTCTCTTTCTCTCCTTACATCATGTAATGTGACCTTCAGTTGTGCTGTGACGGAGTGTTCTGGTGTAGTTCTGACCTGACAAGGACTGTTTCTCACATTCCGTGACTAATTATATTCTTACTTACCCTGGACTGTGGTGTTTCCCACTTCTTGTTTGCTGTGTTTTATTTTGATTTCTAAGGAAGTGCTACATTTTACTACTTTTTGCAGTTTTCCAAATCAGTTTTCAGTACAAATCTGTCTTTAATGTTTTCTCTAGGTTAACCTACCAAAGAAATTTCTAGACAAAGAAAACAGGGGAAACGTGCTAGACTCAAGGATGATGGATCCATGTTCAGTTGGAGTCCAGCTTCGGACCACACAAGACTGCCATAAAACCTTCTATACTCGGCACACAGGTTTCAAGACTTTGCAGGAACTGTCATCAAATGACATGCTTCTGCTTCAGCTTAGGACTGGAATGACCCTCTCTGGGAATAATACAATTTGTTTTCATCATGTAAAAATTTATATTGACAGATTTGAGGAGTTACAGAAGTCATGTTGTGACCCGTTTAACATACACAAAAAGCTAGCCAAAAAGAATCTGCATGTCATTGACTTAGATGATGCCACGTTTCTGAGTGCCAAGTTTGGAAGACAGCTGGTGCCTGGCTGGAAGCTTTGCCCAAAGTGTACCCAGATCATCAATGGAAGTGTGGACGTTGATTCCGATGACCGCCAGAGACGGAAACCGGATTCAGATGTATGTAGAGATAGGTGCTCTCGTGCTTTCTACAGTGTGGGACTTGAGCTAGACAGAGTAACTGTAAAGAATTACATTTACATTTTTATTATGTTCCTTAGCATATAACAGGTTTAAAGTTGAGGTGAAATAAAATTATGTTTCAAAATGTTTCCATACACTCAAGGTCCAGAAGAAACACTAAACAAGGGCTTAGAAAGAGCCTAATGTGCCCAAGACTCCAAGGCTGCAGCTTGTATTCTTGGATCTTAGGAAGGAGACGTTGGGAACGGCCTTTAGATCATTGGCAGAGGCCGACTCGGAGAACTTAGATCCTTTTCGGATACTGAAGTAGCTAAATGGATGTGTCACCTCCTGGAGAGACTATACCAGGAAGAATGTCTCTTTGTGTGCAGGAATGAGAGAGAGAGAGAGAGAGAGAGAGAGAGAGAAATATCAAAGATATCAGAGACCTGGTTTATGATTGATTTCTTTTGGTTTTGGGATGGTGGCTGACTCTGTAGCTTACTGGCCTGGACCTCTCCATGTAGTCAAAACTGACCTCAATCTCATAACAATGATTCTATTAGCCTCCTGGGAACTAGGATTCCCAAGCATGAATCACAGTGCCCAGAAGTCATTGAGTTTAATTGCAGTTTTTCTCCTTTGAAATTATCCCATTCTTTTTGTTTAAGATTTTTAAATATTTGTGACTTTTGGTTTTTCAAGACAGAGTTTCTCTGTAGCTTTGGAGCCTGTCCTAGAACTAGCTCTTGTAGACCAGGCTGGCCTCGAGCTCACAGAGATCCGCCTGCCTCTGCCTCCTGAGTGCTGGGATTAAAGGCGTGCGCCACCGCCAACCGGCCATTTGTGACTTTTTATAAAGCTTCTGTGTCTAAATTCTGAATATGGTTAAGGTTAAACTTAGGGCTTCCTGTTCTCAAAGGTCACACAGTATTGCACTGTGAAGTATGAGATACTATTTGCCTCTTCCCTGTCCACGGGCCTCTATCAGGTCATTTGACTGTGTCAGGAAAGTTGAGGCTCACGGAGCTGCGTTTATACTCCCAGAGAACTTCTCAGAGCTCGTCTTTAAAGCATTGTATAATTTTGATGCTAGCATACTTGATCAGTTTTCTCCTGTTTGCTGAATTAATGAACAGCTATGATTTTAAGTTGTGTGCATTGTGTTTCTCTCAGGCCCATCTCCAGGCCCAGCACTGAAGGTCAGCGTAGACACTTGCTGTCTCTTCAACGTCTTCCCCTCACTCCATTGTTCTTACATGACCAATTCCCCGTCACCTAGTCTTGACTTTAGGTATATAAGAACGTCTCGAAAGACAACTTATTCTTGATGGATGTATAAAAACATTCCAAAAGACCACTTATTTTTATCTCCTCAAATAACAGACTTAAACCCTTAAACATCAGAATTTTGTTTTGTCAAAGCCTTAAAAAACGTTACAGTACAGTTCAGAACATGAAGCCTCATTGCTTCTCTCCTCTTAAAGAATTGTTATTTGGAACCTTGGTTCTGTGCTGTTGGGTGTGTGATGGCTTTTGCTGCCGTCTCTTCTTGTGGTGGCAGCCATTGCTATCCTCAGTGTGCCGGTCTCTGGCACCTGTAGTCCAAGAGATTCAAATCAGAAGAACAGTGCAGATAATCAATAGTAAAGGTGGCATAGAAGAGTGGATTTTCCCACGTGCCTCCCCGAGTGGGGATGCTCAGGGCAGTGCTAAGTGAAGTCCTCCTGTCTGGTGTGAGACTGACTGACTCTGATCTCCTTTCCTCCGTCCAGGGAAGAACTGCTAAAGCTCTACGCTCCCTGCAGTTCACAAACCCGGGAAAGCAGACAGAATTTGCTCCAGAAAGTGGTAAGAGGGAGAAAAGGAAGCTCACCAAGAACTCGAGCGCTGGCTCTGACAGGTAGGCTGTCTGGAGCTGTCTGTTCCTATTCCCAGAGGCATGGTCCCTATGTTTTTCTTTCTCTTAACTTTCAATTTTCTGACCAGTCATTCTAAGTTGTATTCAGAATTAGTGAAAACCTTCCAAAAGCCTTGGCTGTTACTCAGAGGAAAGCAAAGCATCCATTGGAATTCTAGAAGCTTCTTTCTGAGACGGTAGCATAAAGTAAATGGTGTAATGTTTTAGAGTGAGAGTTAAAACGGTTGAAGAAATACCTTAGAGTTTGGCCAAGTTACTGTTTGCAGAATTTGCTACTGATGACCTCTGCTTCCTGGGAGAGAGCTGACCAAAAGGTCACTGCATTTATGAGAGCCCAAGAGTACTTTCGATTTTGCACAGGTCCGAAGTAGACATACAGTTCTAGTACAGTCAACAGAAAGAACAAGAACTAAGTTATTTATAATAAATCTTTAAGTATGTCAAAATATACTGACAAATTTATTATAACAGGTCAGGCTGTTTTCTAACTGAAATCAACATTTTTACCTTTATTCCTTAAGTTTTTCCATTGAGTGATCTGAGATGTTTTCAGAGCAGATTTGCCAGAAGTCATTAAGAAGCAGGAAGCAGATTGATTAGAGTATACGGCCTCTAGAGGGGTGTCCTGTGTTCGCAAGCAGTGTCTGTCCTGTGGTAACTAGTGAAACGAGTGACTGCTCATTCCTCTGTAAGCTGTGTAAAGCCGTGTGTACACATCCGAGTATGTGTATGTGTGCAGATACGTGCGTATCCCATGGTCTGCGTGTGAAAGTCAGAGGAAAACTGGAGTCTGTTTTGTCTCGCTCGGGTTCAGGAAGCACCTCAGTAATCAGGCTCCTACGCCATCTGTTACCGTCTGGGCCACTTCAGTACTTTTGACTTTCAGCACTTGGAGTTGAGTCACCTCGTCCCATCTGAAATTTCTTCTGCAGAGTATGAATTAGGCCCCGAGCCTGGTGAATGACGTGTTGATTTAGCGGGGCCTCCTCCCTACAGAAAGTATTTTATTTGTCTCCTTTATTTTTTCATTATCTTATTTTCAACTAAATATTTAAAGATAGCATGTATGAAGTGCAGCTCACTGTTCTATCTTACAGACAGGTTATTCCGGCGAAGAGTAAAGTCTATGACAGCCAAGGCCTGCTGATCTTCAGCGGCATGGACCTCTGTGACTGCCTGGATGAGGACTGCCTGGGGTGCTTCTACGCCTGCCCCGCCTGCGGCTCCACCAAGTGCGGGGCCGAGTGCCGCTGTGACCGCAAGTGGCTGTATGAGCAGATAGAGATTGAAGGAGGAGAGATAATCCATAATAAGCATGCTGGGTAATTTATAGTCTACACTATGAGCCTCTAAAACTCCTGTCTCTCTCTCTCTCTCTCTCTAAAATCCTGTCGCTTAAAATGCAACTAGAGCCTAATGGTTGGAAAATAAATCTGAAATTCAGTGTGAATTTGGTTGCACCTGGGGTGCTTTACAGTTGTTTATTTGATCTAAATTTAGATGGGTTGTTTCTCCAGAGCCAGCTTTAAGCCTGTCTGGGCCGGTCTAACAAGTGTAGGTAGTTTGCACCTCTTAGGGTTCCGTATGCAGAGATTTCAGTAGTGAGGGTTTAGTTGACTCCTCCCCATCTCCTAGATTCGCATTTACCTCAGTGTACTGTTAGCTGCATGGAGTTCCAACTCACAGTGCAGAAGTCAGGATGTGCTTAGCGGCTGTGCTTCGTGCTCTGTGCAATCGTGAGCTGCTTTTCCGTTCTGCCAGTGTTGGCTCTCTGTACACCTGTTATTTAATTCACTTACAGCAAAGCATATGGTCTGTTATCTCCCTGTCACCCATATGATATTTTACAAAAGTGATCACCCAAATACCTGGCCAGCAAAGAAGTAAGCAGTGACCGATGTGGATGTAAATTTGGATCAGTCGTAAATGGAGTTGTAGACGTCGCTGGTCATGGGAGTCTTGCTGTTCTGGAGACAGATGTGCCTTGAGGAACCTGATGCTGGAAGCTTCCCTACATCGCTGAAAAAAGTGGCTGTGGTGAGCAGAAAGATTGTCCCAGGAAAAGTGATGGTGAAACCTTCCCATTCAAAGCTACTTATTGTAAATAGATATTTTGCAACATTGGACTGGTCAGAAAAGTTTCTATTTAGTATGTTATTAACAAAACAGGCAAATACTTCAGACTACTTTTGGGCAATAAAATAAAACTCCAATTCTGAATACATAAACTTTTATTTTCATGTCCATTTGTAGCTACAAGTTGTATTATTTTGATGGATATTTAAAAACCATATAGCAGTCCTCACCCCTTGGGTTATTAGCATTTCTGGTCTTGTGGCCCTGCACTGTTGTGCACATAGGCCCAGCCCTTAGCTGGAAACAGGGCTGCGACACAAAATTGATCTCAGTGCAACAGAGTAGTTGAGTGTGAGACTGCTTTAGAAATGACCCCGATTCCTAAGTGCTGAGACACCGTCCTTTCCCTCCGACCGGAGATGAGCACAGATGCTCATGCTGTCGGCTGTTCACGTTCTTGATGCAGACTAGTCCTGGGGAAGAATGCTTTCCTCTTCTCCATGTAAAGCGTGAGCACAGTACATGATGAGTAACGTATGTTTTTGTCGTGGTTGCGAAGACACCATGGCCAGGACAACTCTTATAAGAGGAAGCATTTTACTGTGGGCTCACTTAGAGTTTCAGAGGCTTAGGCCGCTAAGGTAGAGAGCGTGGTGGTGTGCCGACAGGTGTCGGAGTGGTGTCTGAGACCTTTACATCCTTATCCACAGGCAGAGAAAGGCTGGGCCTGGCCTGGACTTGTGAAATCTCAGAGGTCGTCATGCCCAGTGACACACTTCCTCCAACAAGACCTTAGCAAGCAGTACCTCTCGGTGGTGATTAAGCGTTCCCATGTGTGAGCCTGTGGGCCGTTTTTATTAAAATCATCGCAGCGTTATTTCTGTGCTCTGAGAACTGCATGCCCATGCAGTGAGGATTGAGAGTTCTGAAAATGTCACTTCAGGGGGTGATGAAAAAAACAGAGAAAGTAGAACTTAAGTTTCTGGATAGTGATTAAATCTTTGGGAGACATCTGTACGGGTGTAGTAAGTTGAGTTGACCGTTAGAATACCATTTTTGTTCATTTTGTTATCTCTACACTCACTGGTTTTTCTTTGATAAAATTTTTAACTTGGAATTAAATGTTAAAATTATTCTTTGGCCCAGCTATCAGAAGCCGATAGTTCTTGGATCTGAATTTTAGCTGAGAAGTATCAATAAAGCTTTTACTACATTTTTAAATTAAAAGGCAGGATTTTATTTTTATAAGTTTAACTATTTTATAGGGGTATAGGTAGACTCCAGTTTTATCTGAATCCTTAGGATCCTTTGATTATAGTCATTTTTTTCTTGTTTCTCCTTTGATTCCTAAATGTGCTTATGCTCTTCAAAGAGAATTTTTGGTGTGTATTGTTTTGTTTTCTTTGCAGCAGGACCTTGCTCTATAGCAGAGGCTGGCCTGGGAGCCCTGCAGGCTTCTTACCTCAGCCTTCCCGGGCTGACATCCATCTCTCACCACACTGCCAAGTTGTAGGCATTTATTTTTGCTTACAGCACAAGTCTATTTCTAATGGAGAAAGACCTTATATAAAATGGCTATATTTCAGCATTCCTTTGAACAGATCTTTTTGTAGACAGTAATAACTTTTTCCAAGGGGAAACATCTTGAACAGTTTTGCTGTTTGTTCTTTGTCCATTTGGGGACCAAACAATGAGCATATTGCAGTGTTTGTAGACAAATGTATATCTGATCTTCAGTAAACTAATAAAGACTGTATTTTAGAAACAATGCAGGCTTGCTGTTCGTTATTTTAAATGTGTGTGTGTGTATGTGCACATTTGTGTGTAGGCCCCAGATTGACTTGGATGCCTCCTTGATTCCTTGCCACTTTATTTATTGAGGCTGGACGACTTGCTGACCCTGGAGCTTGCTGATTGGACTCTTCTAGCTAGTCAGTTTATGCAGGGAGTCACCCTGAGTCTGTGATTACAGATGGGCCACCACACTCACAAACGTGGGTGCTGAGGATCCAAAGCCATCCTTACTTGAGCAGCAAGCACTTTATCCACTGAGCCAGCTTACCACTGAAAAGAATCCCTATCTGTTGTTAGGTTTGCTTAACAAGAACATTTGAATCTTTGGGAAAGTTTTACCTCCCAGAAATCCATATTTCAATCTCGATTCACACCCCTCTCATCCTCCCAAAAGGTAATTAAAAGTTGGTTGACTGTGCCAAACAAAGGGGCTGGTCCTAGCTGGACCAACCTTTCACATTAAACTTCCCACTTAAATCATAGTCACCCTGTGAAAAAACTTAGTGTTTATTGAAAGTTCATGTGACACCTTAGTTTTTGCTGACATCTGCTGGTGTCTCCGTGAAAATAAATATCAAAGGCCCAACAGTTTATGAACTTAGGAGCTAAGTAACCCTTTAGCTTTGTAAGTTGGTTCTATTAGGTGTCATCAATGTTGTGGAAAGCAAACTATTTTAGAAACTAAAAGTGTACTATTTGTGAGCACCATGATTATGTTGGGAGGTCAGAGGACACCTAAATTTATTTCTCTCCTTCCACCTTTACATGGGTATCCAACTCAATTCACCAGGCTTTTGCCAGATGAACCATCTTCTGCCCCTTTGTTTTCTGATCGGTAATGTCCCCAGAATCCTGAAATAACGATGCCGAACCAATAAGAGTGGAAGAGAAGTGCTCTCACTGTAGGAGCCAGCCGTGATGGCTAAATATGAACAGATCACCCGAAGGAAGTCCTTTACTTTCCAACCCTTATCACCTGCCAGAGTAGGACAGAGTCATCAATAAATTTAATAGAGGCCTGAGTCTCAGTAGTTTTCCCTGAAGCAATACTTTCCTGATTGCAGGAAGAACCACAAACTGAGATTACCGGAGCACCACCCAAGAACAGACTAAAGGAAATGCCTAAATTTCCAACCACTGTAGATAGGATCACCTGCCAGCACACACTCACCAGGACACCCCTAGACAACTGTCAGCCAATCAGGGGTCCTGAACCTCAGAAACCCCTCACCCCCACCTTTACTACTATAAAAACCCAACTCTTAACTGAACTCGGGGCTCTCCGTTTATTCCAATATGTTGGTCATGCATAGAGACCGAGTTTGCAGATTTGCATAAAATAAAGGCTCTTTGCTTTTACATACAGGACTCGATCTCCTTGTTGGCTTTTGGGGGACTTCACGGATTTGGGCATAACAGTCGCCAGTGGTGGGAAGCTAGGATTGCTCCTGAAAGGCCTCGGGATTGGGTCCAGTTCAAATTACTCTAAAACCAGATAGGGTGGCAGGCAAGCAAGATTAGGTGTAAGTAGAAGTCAGCGGTTGTTAAGGACAACGACCATTGTTTCTTCTGTTCCTCCAGGTCATTCTGTTTTAGGTAACAAGTCATGCCTGGCAAATAGACGGTAGGAACAATGCTTAAAATTACTAAGTAGATCAGTAAATCAGCATCTAATGACTGCTCTGTGCTGCCATATTCTACTTCAGTAGAGTTCCTCATGTTTACATTGCAACATCTCGTTGAGTGCGTTATATAACACACACCCGACTGAATCAGTTTCTCTGGAGAACAGTAACCGATATTGTAATGCACTTAACTTCTGTCCTGAAATAGTTCCCACAAAGACCCTGGCTTTAAATCTAGGTAAAAAACAAACAAACAAACAAACAAAAAATTTGTAGGGAGCACAGCCTAGAGTAAGCAACGGAGGAGCTGGAACAGTTTAGCAGCAGGCCTGCCGTCTACTGTAGGAAGAGAGTGCCTGGTCGCCTAGACTGTGACCTGGGTTCCTTTGTTCCAGGAGCTCACCACCATCTGAATTCCCCTCTTTGTGAAAGAGGCCCAGGTACTCTGCACCCTCCACCTACAGAAAACATCCCTATGCTCATTAGAAATCCTTCCTTTAGGCCCTAGCCCTGAGCACTGTTTCCCAATCAGAGCTCATTCTCATGAGAAAGATTTCAGACACTGTTGGAACAGGGTGTTTTGCAAGGGAATTTCGCTGAAGCCACTCCTGTTTTCATTCCCGAAGTTCTTTTACACCTCAGGGCTGTGCTACCTGTAGGGACACCCTTCCCCCCCCCCCAACACAACTGTGTCTTGCTTTATGAAGTGGAGATATTTTGTCTCCATTCTCTTACATTGAGAAAGGGTTTCTGGGCAGAAGTCGGGAGTCAGGGATTTCAAGCCAGTCCCTTCCATCACACTCTCTATTTTGCATATGGAGAGAATGCCTTTTACTCCCTATCTGATCAGAAGGAGGCTTGACCCACGAGCCCTGTTTAAAAACACACTGGCAGCTGCCTGGTGGTGGTGGTGCATGACTTCAGTACCATTGCTCAGGAGGCAGAGGCAGGCGGATCTCTGAGTTCAAGACCAGCATGGTCTACAGCGTGAGTTCTAGGATAGGCTCCAAAGCTACACAGAGAAACCCTGTCTCAAGAATACAAACAAACAAACACAAAAATCGTTGCCAGCTACAAAAACCTATGAGAATGTGCAGCCTCCTAAAATTTCCACCAAGTGGGACTGGAGGCATGGCTCAGTCCTTAAGAACACCATAGTCTTCCAAAGGACCTGGGTTGTGTTTCTAGCACCCACATGGTGGCTCACAACTGTCTGTAACTCAAGTTTCAGGGGTCCAGAAGAGGGCATCAGATTCCCCAGGAACTGAAATTACAGATTGTGAGCCACCATGTGGGTGCTAGAAACAACCCTGGTTCTCTGGAAGAGCAGCAAATGATCTTAACCACTGAGCCATCTCTCCAGCCCTATCTGGCCTTTTTATATATATATATATATATGTTCTAGGGATTGTACTCAGGTCTCCCTCTCTCTCTCTCTCTCTTTTTCTTTCTCTCTCTCTGGTTTGACTTTATTCTGAGCATGTCAGCAGAAGTTCAGTGGTCTTTTCCAGACCCAGTGTCAATGCCCCCTTTTCCTGTTAGCACTCATCCCTCTGTCCTTGAGAAGCTGTGGTTCCAGTCAGCCCACAAGCTTCAGATAGGTTCACTTTGGTGATTCTGGGATTCATTGTGAGGCCTGATCTTGGAGGGTGTCCCATCACCACCACCACCACTTAAAGCCATGGTAAACTTCAGCCCATGAATTACCTATCTTTTGGCTGAGGTCAGAACGGGACAGGTGAGAACTGATCAGCTCACAAGAGACTGGGTCTCACACTGGCCAAATCTCAGTTCTACGCCTGCTGAACAGAAATGTTTTACTCGCTCAGGCTGAATAATTAGTTTTTCGGACAATTACAACTGTATCATTTACTCTATCTAGTTTATGATTTATATCACAGCGCTAGAAAATTACATTCAAGCATCAACTGCTCATGTTCCTCCCTCTGTCTTCACCATATCTCCTTGAAATAAAACACCAAAGCAGTGGACTCAGCCCAGGAGAGATGGGTTGAGCGCCTGGATCTGGTCGTCTGAAGTAAAACCTGGCATTGTGTGGTTCGTTCATCGTCTCCTTTTGCACTTTGCCATGTGACATTTGAATACAAGTTCCACAAGTGGGAAGTCAATTCAAAGAATCCCAACTGAGCTCCAGTGTGGAGAGACCTGTTTAGCACCCACACCCTTGGGAGCATTCACGGTTTAGGAAAGGAAAACAAGCAGCTGTGACCCACACCCAAGTTGTCATTCCTACCCTGAATCTTCGCCAGATCGCTAGTTCCTGTGAATCTTAGTTTGGTGGAGCATGGCCTGGAGTCATTGGCCCCAATGACTAAAGCCCTACAACTGTATTAAGACACGTGCGTGCGTGATGTGGCTATCCATTGTCACTATTTTTGTTGGCCTTGCTTCTAAAGCTCTGGACATAGTTGAAATTGTTTGAATACTCACAGCATCCTCTACATCACCCTGTGCTTCCCCTGTCCACTGAGACAAGATCTTCCTCCGCTTCCAGCCTGAGCTCCTTCCTTTTCATCTCTCTCCCGAAGAGGCAGCTTCTGCCCCTTGCCCTTCTCCCCACTTCTCCCCTTCCCCCTCTCTCTCTGCCTTTCTCTCTGCTCTTCTCCCTTCTCCTCTTACCCCCTTCCCCTCCATAGCCCACTAAATAAATACCCACTTTCTCTGCATGGTATGCCTGTTCATGTCTCTGTCTCTCACCTGCCATGTGGCTCCCTGCCTGGGACCGGCTGCCTTCGTGGCCTGCGGTGGTCTTGGGACCCGCAGCCGGCTACAGCCACTCATGGGAACGGCACCATTTTATTTTTACCACTAGCAGTCTCTACAGGTGCTTAGGTCTGTGACACTGATAAAGGGGATGTGAAGATGTTGGTCCCACCAAACAGAAGGGCAGCCCCTTATATGTCATTTCCAGTAATAACAGTTCCGAAAAGTCAAATGTACAGTTGACGATGCCTTAGGATATGCTTAACATGCTAGAGATGTTTATATGTTTTAATCCCCTTCTTCAGTTTTGATAATTAAAGCAACAGCATAAAAAATTCTCAATCTCAATTCACAATTCTCATCTCAAAGGGAGTAAGAGGTGATTTATTCTAGAGCTAAGAATGAGTGACCATGACACAGGAACTCAGAGTTAGATGACCTCGAATACCAGGTTCAAATGTAACAGTTCTCATGAAGTTTCTATAGGTTCAAAGAAAGTCATAAATCAAGCTGCTTTTCAAATACATTGATAGAAACGCCAGGGAAATCAGTTACAGCAAGGTGGGGAGCCTCTGCGGTCCTCAGATGTTCTCAGATGACATTGCTAGCCTCCAGGCTGGGTTGA